GTTGGTGGCAAGTGACGGCAAAGTTTTCTAAGACAGCTAAGTCATATTTTTCTTAATATTTTTTAAAATCATATTTAAGTTCTAAATCATATTCATTAAGGGTTATTGTCACATATCTGTCTCCTATATCTGTGCTTATTAAAACAAATGGTCTCTTGCCATGCCTAGTGGACATATCTGCTGAAAAATAACAAGAGCATAGTCATTATCTAATATTCATCTGATTATTGTCTTCATGTCTCTGATGACGTAAGCAAAACAACGTACCTCTGGCTATGTATAAAATTTGTGGCCTGGCCAAAGCACACAGGAGTTTTTGTACTGCTGGACTGCTGTGGCAGGAATCAGGATGAAGAGAAAGAGGAGGAAATATTACATTGTCTCTATCAAATTTCAGCATTGCTGCCATAATACAATTACGATGCCATTCGATTATGCGCAGTAGGGAGGCATATCCTGCATCTGAAAATGCAGCGAAACTGCACAGCATGTTAAGTACTGTATAAAGTGCTAGAAAACAAATGACATTTAGAGCATTTTTTAATTGGACTTTTATTGGGAGAGGCCAAACATTGAGGATGCAGTGAGTTGAATGTTAACGTGTGACATTAAATTTTGATGGTAGCTGGTTTCTAGCTGCTCTCTAACCAGCTACCAGCTTTTTATAACAATGTAGGTTGGTCAGGCTGGTTTTGGAAACATGGGGGCTGGTCAACCAGCTGGAAACCAGTTAACTTAGGTTAATCTAAAATGGGATTTTCCAGCAAATATAGCATACGTTTTATAAAAGGGGAAGTTCTATGTGAAACTTTTACTTTTGCCTATTTTATTTTGTACAAATGGGACAGAACTAAACCAGGCAGAAAGAGAGAGAAAGAGAGAGAGAGAGTTGCTAGGCAACAAACTTGGCATCAGATTTTTTTTTTTTTTTGCAGCAGTGCCTCACAGTGTGCCAGGTCTAAATTAATTCATTTTTCATTACAGTTTTGCCGTAAAACCCATACAGCAATATTTTGTTGGAGGAAAATTAATGCAAGGCGGATTTGGCTCAGCTGACATCTTAAAAGAATTAAAAAAAAAAAAAAAAAATATATATATATATATTTTTTTTTTAATATTTAAAGAAACAAAAAGGTGGTGCATTTTTTAGATGCTACAAACACAAGATTCTTTTCGTTTATGTTTGTGCTGTTCTCTGTTACTTTCACTCTGCCAAAGCTGTGTTTGCCACAGTTCACCATAATCACAGACGGCATCCATGATGTCACTTCGTGAAATCGATAAAAAGACAGAGCAGTGACGTGAAATAGCCTTTAACCCCTTCACTTGATGTTGGGTGATAGTATTCAAAACAAACGCTATGCAATGCACAAATTCCCTCATGTAGTAATGCTAGGATTTTATACTCTAGGACCTGTAGAGTATACATATGTCATTCAGCCAGAGAACTGATAATTGCACAAATATACTCTTCAAGTTAATGAATGCATGATGTGATATTTTGCCTGAAAATCTTATTGATGTTTCTTGGAACTGTGTAGAGCAGTATTAAACATCAACATCTATATTGATGTCAATATCTATATCTATATCTATATATATGAAACTGAAAAAGTTAAATTATTATTAATCTACACTTTATATAAAACATAATCTGTTTTTTAAAGACGTCTCTCATGCTCACCAAGGCTGTATTTATTTGAAGTACAATACAGTAAAAACAGTAATATTGTGAAACATTATTGAAAATAACTAGTTTCTATTTTAATATATTGTAAAATATAATTTATTGCTGTGATGCAAAGCTGAATGAAGCCTTCAGTGTCACATGATCCTTCAGAAATCGTTCTAATATGAAGTTTTACAAGATACTTTGCTGAACAGAAAATTCAAAAGGACAGCATTTGTTGGGAATAGAAGTCTTTTGTAAATGTTTTTATTGTCAATTTAATGCATCCTTTCTAAATAAAAATATAAATTTCTTTAAAAAGACTTCAGACAGGCAGACCAAGGGCAGGTAAATGATGAGTAAATTATGACAGATTAGAGCATTTGAGTTTTATGTGCATTATATCCAGGGTTGGGAGGGTTACTTTTAAAATGTATTCCGTTACAGTTACAAATTACTTCATTAAAAAAGTATTCAGTAACGTAATCCAAGTACCACAATTTAAAAGTAATGTAATCTGATTACTTTTGGATTACTTCAAGTTACATATGTAAATAAGTCATAAGTAATAGTAAGTATTTTCAATTTTCACAGTAGCTCAGATGCGGGCCGGGCCTCTGGACCGTTTTAGGCTTCTCCTTATTTTTATATTTTAGACATCCATCAATTAGTGATGAAAAAAAAATTGCCTCGCTGGTGGAAACAACACGAGACCGTGCAACCTCGAATGTCAAGAGCGGCTCGACGGGGTTTAGTGTCCCGCAGCAGCAACATGCGTGCCGTCAGTGCAGCTGAACAGTTCTGCGTTCAAATGCACGCAATAGGCTTAAGCTTGCCGCAAATTAGGCAAGTCATGATGATTTGAGAAGGCTAACATAGGCTATCAGCTCACTGTCTGCCATTGGCCGGTTGGTCGTTACTTTAAAAAACAAAAACTTATATTTAACGAACAAAAAATGCTCCAAACGTTTTTTTCTAAATTAACTTAATAAAAAAAACGAAACGAAATATAATCACTTCACCATTACATAAAAAACTGTACTATTTTAATAGCTGAAACAGTAGTATAAGCTGTTTAGGGAGAAGGAAAAAAAAGACAATAATTCTGATAAGCTGTCGGACACGGGCCCGTGCAGGGCTCTACCAGGAACTATGACGAAGCAGCGCTAAATATATAGCGTTATGTTCGCTGGTGGAAACAACACGAGACCGTGCAACCTCGAATGTCAAGAGCGGCTCGACGGTGTTTAGTGTCCCGCAGCAGCAACATGCGTGCCGTCAGTGCAGCTGAACAGTTCTGCGTTCAAATGCACACAATAGGCTAAAGCTTGCCGCAAAGCACCGGCAAAAGTAATTACCATGAATGTGTCAGGGGGAAATAGTAAGGAGATATTTGAAATTATTTACTTAATAAAAAAACGAAACGAAATATAATCACTTCACCATTACATAAAAAACTGTACTATTTTAATAGCTGAAACAGTAGTATAAGCTGTTTAGGGAGAAGGAAAAAAAAGACAATAATTCTGATAAGCTGTCGGACACGGGCCCGTGCAGGGCTCTACCAGGAACTATGACGAAGCAGCGCTAAATATATAGCGTTATGTCAAAATACTCATTTATTTAATTTTAAATTAAACATGTAATCCTGATATAGTATTACCACTTTTTACAAAATGTAACTATAATCGGAATACATTGTTTTTTGATGTAACTGTAACGGATTACAGTTACTAGATTTTTGTATCCTGATTACGTAACGCCGTTACATGTATTCCGTTACTCCCCAACCCTGATTATATCCAAGTATGGAACCTATTTTTCCTGTAGCTCTACAGGAACAGAGTGGTAACAATGCCAGATCATGATTTGACATAACATTTTTGACATTTAAAATTCAGGCTTTACAGGTAGAGGTTAAAAAAAGTTAATGTCGTTTTTTTATAAAGTTAATAGAACATAATTTGCAGATATTTCCCTATTAGAGAAAATAAACATGCTTTTATAGCCATATTATCACAGTGCTGCAGATGAATGTTTAAAACAGTGACTAGAACATCAGTGTGTCCTAATTATCCTTTGGTTCCAAACCATGGCATATACAGTCCACAACAAATGCCCGCCAAACAGAAGTCTCCATTTCTAGCGTCTGTCAGAACTGCATTCTCATTCATCTGATTGTTAGCAGAGAGGCTGATGGCGAGCTCCTCCCCAGAGTCCCACCAAATGAACACTAATGGCCGAGAGATCACGTTGTGAATGGGCTGCTAATGGTGATGGAGCTAGTGCAACGGCTGTCTTCCCTGCGATTCGATGTGAAAGCACCGAGTCTGGCTCCACTGTGCCTGTGCTCTTGTCAGGAACATTTGTCTATATTAAAGGGTTCATGAAGCACTTGTTGAAAGAGTGAAGTTTGGCTGCCCTTGAAGTGTTTATGACATCTTTTCATCAATATGAACTTGAACTTTTCACTCAATATGAACAAAGATGTAGCTTTTTGCCACAAGAAAACACAAAAACATAACCAGCTATTGATCGTGTGTCATATTCTAAAATGAAGCAAATACAAAGACAAACTAATCAAATTTAGACACATAAAATAACAACAAACAACGACTTTCCACTAAAATGTATAAGCTGAACACTTTGGTGTAGCTATCATAGATTATGATTTTTTTATTTTAAAGCCTTTTCTTAAAAAAAAAGCTAAAATCTGGGTTACAGTGAGGCATTTACAATGGAAGTAAATGGAGACAATAGGGTGGTGCAGGGATGATGTCAGAACCCGGAAGACTAAAATTCGCCACTGTTTTTTTTGAGATTTTCCTATGGGGTTTTGTAATAGGGTTTTTCAGTTGGTAAAAATAACTTGACGATATAAACTTCACACAATCACACCCCAACCCTTATCTAGTTACTTATTAGAAACATACGATTTCAAAAATAAATCATACCAGCTTCAAAAATGAAAATCGGGCAAATGAACACAGGCATATTAAAGCAACTCATCAGTAGTTTTATCGCCTTCCATTGTCAGTTGCGTTCGTTCATGTTGCGTGTCCTCAATCTGACAACCCGTGTGGGCATTGAGTCTGTGGAGGACGGGGCAGGAGAAACAATATTAATTTAGACTGAGTACTTATTTCAACCACTAGTTATCATTATCATTAGTCAGATGTATGTTCATTAAAGCAGTTTTGCATCCACATTCCGTGTATTGGCTCATCTCATTTCCTAGTGCCAACGTCATTTGAACAGACCAATGAAACGTCTCCTTTCGCAGGCTGAAAACAAGTTCCACGAAGAGGCTCGAAGAACACTGACCCTCGCGAATCTAGTGGGCTAGTCAGCAGAAGCAGCAGACACAACTTTTACCAGGGTTGTGTTTATTTACGCGAGCTGTACGGTCTCCAGAGCAAAGTTACACTCCAGAATTCAGCACCGGAGCTGTCCAGCCTCCGCGCCCTCAGCTCGTGCCTCAAAACAACGCTGTTTGCTCGGGTGCGGAATATTTGTTTGACGGGGTTACATACTGTACACTGACCGCCGCGATTACACACGCATAGCCTTCACTGACGAAAGCAAACCTTGAAATGACTGCTGGCAGCGCGTGAGAGGAGCAGAAGAAATCGAGTCCCAAGTACCGGAGCACCATCCCATTTCCTTCAGGTTAGTCTTAGTTCTGTTCTAACTATAGGTACTAACTAAATCAAGACAGTTGTGATTTTTACAGTTCACGTTTAGTAAAGCTTGCAGGACGTGCATTGAATGCAACATAGAACATGCATTCAAATTGCTGGTCATAAACGCACGCAACTTGCATGGACGTACATTTTAAGAGACGGATCATTCATGCATCAGTTTTATGTGGGTGTAGAAAAATACCCCGTCTGTAACACCCGATATAGGTCAGTGCTGTTTAGGCGGGTGTGGATGAGAGCCATGCATTATATTGCATCATTTTCCACTGTGAAATGTAATGAGGCTGGGGTTTGATAGCCAGCTGCCAGACTTTACGCAATAACTTTTGTTACACTGACACTGAATGTTGCACGTGACGTATTTACAATGTTGGATGTGCAGTCAGATTTTTCACACGATAACTTGTGCGTGGCGAAGTGTACACGCTCCTTTGAGCAGCACTGCAGAGGTAAGTTTTTCTGGATCAATTGCAGTCTCTTTGTGAGACTCTTGTGCATCACTTCTGACGTCACAGTCCAGGAGCGAGCAGGGTGTAATGTAGTCATTGAGGAGTGGAAGTCAGGTGCCTGCGTTCAGAAAAGTCGCACATTTGGGGAAAATTATGTAGCTGTAGAATTTTACAGAACATAATTTAGATACATTTCTATAGATTCTATAGAATTTAAACAGTCAAATTGATAGATTTATTTATGTTTAGATAATAATATTTTAATAATTAATATTAATAATAAATAATATTATTTTTATTACTAAATGTAAAATATTGTAAGTAATATTATTTCAGATTTGAAGAGCATTATTATGGTATTACTACCCGCATAATAATAAATAATAATAATTGCATCGTCATCATCAAAAATAACAACAACAACAAACATCATCATTATTATTAATAATTAATAATCTGATTTTAAATATTTTATATCACCAAATGTAACAATGTTTTATAAATATTGTAAGTAATATTATTTCAGATTTAAGGAGCAATATAAATATTACTACCTGCAAAATAATAATACTAGTAATAGCAATAAATTATACTAGTACTACTTCTACTATACTATCATCAACAACAACAACAATAATAATAATAATATTTTCCTATCATTATTATTATTAATTTCCCTAACAAGCTATTTCTACTTGATTTAACCCATAAAAATATGATTTGTTGGTATCAGTTAATGTATTTAGGTTGATTCAGTGATGTTAATATTTTTTTTGACTATCTTGATTTGAGTATCATCTATAATAATAATAATTTGTTATATGAATATAAAGCTGATTTAACCAGAGCTTGATGACAGTGATGATGATAATAATGATTTGTTTTTCTTCATGTAAGAAACTATATTATTGACAATGCTAATGCTAATGCTAATAATAATAGAGAACATAATGAAAATAAAGCTGATCTAATCCAAACATATAGGTTAACAGGAGTGTCTGAATTTGAACGTTCTGTATTTGACCTTCTGAACTTTTTCACACCTTGCATGTTTATGACACTTTTTCTGTTATTTACCATTTGATATATTTCATCATATTCTATTCTTGGCCTTTGTAGTACCGTACAAGCTTGCTATTCGTTATGGTTCAATATTAGTATTGCTTCAGTTGATCTATTTGACATGAACCCCCGCTATTAGCCCTGTACTTCTTCAGAACCCTCCTCCACCTTTTAATGCCCGGTTCTCTCCTGTCTGCCATCCTACCCACAATGCACCATGTGTGTCAGCTCTGGAACCCAGCAGACACTCCAGGTTCCCTCGTCTCTCTCACAGCTCTCATTGTCACCTCCTCTCAGAAGAGTGCCTGGCACAGACTCAGTGCCTGACAGGAACTGAATGCCAACGTGGGGGCTCCTCTCTCTAGAGGCATTTACATTCAAATTCCTCCACATTGCGATGCCTCCGAGCCCATAGGCCAGCGTGCGAGAGGAATCTCAACTCCCCGTACTCATAGTTTGGCCAGCACACTTTGCATTTGGGCCACTGAGTGTCCAAGGTGAGGCATTATGGGATGCGATGGCATATATGCGTTCATAAATGTTCCCAAAGCGCACAAGCCCACATTGTACAGATTATGTGTTTTATCACTTCGTTGCTCATTAGTGTTTACAGAGAGCGTTGGCGATTTTATCTTTGAAGTTTGGCTGCTTTTTTTTTTTTTCTTGGTGGGTGTTTGTGATTCCAATCACTGGCAGAAGGTGGCCTTAGTGAACTCGTTAGTGTGATTAGTTCCAGGCTTTTGGGGATGGGATATTCACGTCAATGGGAAGCATTCCCATGGAAAAAAAGAATGCTTTGTCGCTGTCCTATTCACAGAACGGTTCCCCACAGGAGCAGCGCATGAAAGGCAGGGTTTGTTGGGATTCAAGTCAGCGACAGCTTGACAGTGCAAAGCCGATTTGTGAAACATGGTATTACAATAATATTAGAGGAAAAAACAAAGGCTGGTGAACATGTAGGTGCAATGCATCTGAAACATTAGCATTCAGAAGTTTTGCTGTAAGTGTAGCTTCTGAAATGTGAAAGTTACTCATAATTTAAAGGGACAGTTCACCCCAAAAAAATAACTTTCTGTGTTCATTTAGTCACCTTCGTGTTGCAGCATGAATTTCTTTCTTCAACAATGGAGATGTTTTCAAGAATGTACAGGATTTTCAATTTTGTGAGCATTTTTGTAATTCATTCATGAATTCGGATTAGAATAGATTCATGAATGATTCATTCTGACAGCCTTTCTGAACCAAATTAAAAAGAACCAACTCAAAGGAATTATTTGCTCACAAATCAGCATCTCTATATCTCTCGCTGCAATTTTGACAAAATATTTATCTTATAAGTTACTAATAAAAGTATGTATTGTAGCTATTATTCTTTCTTTTTATTGTTATTTTTTTAAAATCAATCTTGTTTGGTATATTGGAAAAAGATACCACACAAATGTCTGTGCAGGGATAGATAGAACGATAGATAGAATAATAGAATGATAAAACAATAGATAGATAGAACGATAGATAGAACAATAGATAGAATGATAGAATGATATAACAATAGATAGATGGATGGATGGATAGATAGATAGATAGATCTTTTCTTCATTCTTCATTGAAATGAACTTTCTAAATAAGCTGGTTCACTAAAACAAAGTTTAATATATAAGAGGGAGAGTGAATATTTCAGGTGAGCAAGTTTGATTATTGCCTCAGTTGACTTTGTCTGCAGATTGTCATAAGGACAGGGAGAAAAATAATTATGCAGAAAAATGTAATTTAATTGAACACTTAGAAGAAGCAATGGTTACCTTTATAAGAAGTAAATGCACTAAGGCATATTCTGCTGAACATCTGTGCAGACAGATGCCTCACACAGAATGATAATTAGACGCCACAATGTCCCCGGTGTCCTCACATAAAATGCCTATAAACTCCAATTCACAGCCTCACTTTATGAGACACGATTTCACACAGTTCACATATATGTCAACATGATATTGAAAACAAGCACAGACAATAACCAGTGCTTCTCAGGATGAATGTGATTTAAAGGGGTCATATGATGTTGCTAAATAGAACATTATTTGTGTATTTGGTGTAATGAAATGTGTTTATGCGGTTTAAGGTTAAAAAAACACATTATTTTCCACATACTGTACATTATTGTTTTTACGAAACACACAGCGTCTTCACAGCATGGCGGCGGCGGCGGTGGCAGCAACAATAAAGTTACACCTTCTTACTTTGCGTGAACATTTGGGCGGCGTTATGCAATTCTTCCCACATCATGACGTAGATATGTGGGGGCGTGTTTAAACAAGGCGTTTTTGGAGGGCGTGGACCAGTCTTAACTTTTATAAAGAATATCTCTTTGGGTTTGAGACTTTAGTCTTTGCAACTTTAGGGATCTTATCTATTCACAAACAGCTTGTAACACTCCAAAGAGAAATCTATCTATCTATCTATCTATCTGTCTATCTGTCTGTCTGTCTGTCTGTCTGTCCATCTATATAAAAAGTAAAACTAACACATTTCTCTTCTGTGAAACGATATATATTTTTATATTTATTTATTTTTTAAATGGTTAATATATAGGTAAACAACTATTATTTGACACAAACTATTAAGTGACACAAATTTCTGCTTAAGTTCAGAACCATGTGATCGGCAGCACTGAGTCTGTGTCAAAAGCCTAGCAGAGAGACACAGAGACAGCAGAGCCATGTACATATGTGAGTTTTCATACAGTCTCCCCTCCGCCTCCAACTTCATTTCTTTTTCAGGAGAGTCGTCTAAATTTTTCAGGGAAATATAGCTGGCCCGTTAGTGAGCTGTGTTGGTGAGACAGCCGTTGCCCAGAATACACTGCATGCTTTGAGCTCATGGGAAAGATATTCCACTCTTTTATTTCTGTGAGATTGCTGACTTGGTGCACCCTTTAGTGCAAATCTCCAAATCTAAACACTCACAGGGACCTCGATTTTCCCCTGAGCAATAAAAATAGTCAGCCTTGTGTGTATAAATTCAGGTCAGTGAATATTGTATTTGCTTGGGTAGGGGTTTTAATAAAGAATCATTTATTTAATGTTTTCCTTGAGGTGTCTATACCTATAAGACTTTTTACTCAACCTACATCAACTATCGTAATGCATTATTTTCATTAGTACAACATCTTGATATTCAGGAGATACATTTCAAATCTTTACTAGTGTATATAGGACAACATTTACGTCAGTTTAATAAAATCCATTCGGTGAATCACATACCTTGAGAAGCCCGTCTGTTACTGAAAAAGCACTTCCTCAGGTGTCAATCACCACAGACCTCCATCTCCATATTCAAATTAGTGATCGACCAATATGGGCATTTAGTCCTCCTCAATTCTGGCTAAGTGGTTACAGCTTTTGTGTCAAACTCACCACAAAATAGAAATGTAAAATCCACAAGTGTGGCTCAGAATACAAATGCTGTTCTTTCTATTTCCAGAGGCAACATCCTTGCAGAGATTTAAAGTGATAGTTCACCCAAAAATGAAAATTACCTCATGATTTACTCACCCTCAAGCCATCCTAGGTGTATATGATTTTCTTCTTTCAGATGAATACAATCGTAGTTATATTAAAAAAGGTTCTCCCTGGCTCTTCCAAGCTTTATAATGGCAGTGAATGTTGGTCGAGATTTTGAAGCCCAAAAAAGTGCATCCATTCATCATAAAAAGTGCTCCACATGGCTTCCACTGACTGTCGTATGCACATTCACGAGAGAGTAGCATTCTAGTGGTTGACGTAGGCATAGGTAAACTATCCCTTTAAGAAGAGAAAATAGTCCGTATCTGATTGTTTATTGGACATTTTGCTTCTAAAACCATTTTATTTTTGTAATCTGATGGGTTTTTGTCTGCCATAATTCATCAATTTAACACTCACAATTTTTGTCTTTTACCATGGCTATAGGCAACTTTATTTTTATGGCATACACAATAGTAAATGGACGTGTTTTACATTGGCATTATAAAGAGAGAGCAAAAACATTTAAAAATAAATTTTTTAATCATTTATGAACATAGAAACGAATAAGAAATGAAAAAAGATAAAAATAAAAAAAATGATAAAAAGTCTAGTTCTCAGTCTTGTCAATTATTTTCATTGAGTAATTTCACTGTTCGGCAGTAATGGCTTCCCCTGCGTCTGAAAGCATCGGCCATCACTGGAATGAACATGTTATAATCTGTGGTGAGAGTTGGGATGCAGTGGGATTTCTAGCCAGAAGTCATTTTCATAAGGTTTTCACAAAGGGATTGACTCAGACATTATTACAGGGGGAGAGATTCTCATCTTTTATTCTCCTCGAGGCGACCTGCGATGACCTCTCGCTCTTCCTCTGCCTTTTGTCTCTGAGGACTCTTCATCCATCACTGTATAGTCACAGTTTTAGTTCTAGCATCAGTCTGTTCATGCACGGTCTGATGCATATTACTGGCTGAAATCACCAGTTCTGTGAACTGATTGTCTGGCTTCTATGCAATTTCCGCCCGTTGGGTGTGCAGGTCTGCCGGGAAACAAAATTGCGTTCACACTTTCCCAGGCTGAGGCAATGAGCTCTTCCAACGAGGAACGCATGATTTCAGATTCACCTGTGAGCGTCACCAAAAATAACCTGTGGTCAGTTTTGTTGCATAAGCTGCCAAAGTGGACCAGGCTTCATGCAGTGTAATGAAACTATTTGTACCTGTAACATTGTAGCATTTTTGTAATATCAAACATGGATATTTTGGTAACATTATTTGAACACACAGATATTTCTAAAACACCCACATATGAAGTTTTGTGAAGTCTGATTCTAGTCAATGGTCTAGTTCAGTTTATTTAAATGAACCAATTCTAAATAAATCAGCTATCAAACATAACTAAAACTAAAGAAATCCATTTATAAATCAATTAAATGTAATTAATTATAAAATAAAAAAAATATTAATTTAATGCTGATTATGTTTTCTTTGAAGAAAAAAATAAAGATAATTACATTAGAAAAATAAGATTATTGTATTTTTATGTTTCATTTAATACAATGAATTTACAAGACAGCATTTTAATAATTTAAATGCCAACTAAAAATGCTGTTTTATTCTGTCATCATAAATGGCAATCCTGATTGTTTTCTGAATGATTGCTTGAGCATAAAATTATTATTTGCGTGACAAGCTTAAATTTTAAAGTATTTTATCCACTTGGATTGATTGGATTGTGAAAAGTGGATATTTACGTTGATATGGAAGCTGGTTTCCACCACGGAATAAAAATAAAAATGTTTTATCTTTTTATCTCAAAATTGTGACTTCTGACTTCTCAGAATTGTGCATTTATATCTCGAAATTGCGAGTTAACATGTCGTGATTCTGACTTTTTGTCTGAGCAATTTGAGAAGAAAAGTCAGAATTTTGATATATAAACTCACAATTGCAAGAAAAAATTCAAGTGTTTTTTTCTTTAGTTTTTATTCTGTGATGTAAAAAAACAGAATTGCGAAATATACACTCAGAATTGTGAAATAAAAGTCGCAATTAACTTTTCAATTTGCTTCCATGTCAGTCAAAAAAAGGAAAGCTGTTTCAGACGCACAGTAAGTTATTAAATTATGATGAGTGATATATATATACTGTATATATATATATATATATATAGATATGATACACATGTATAATTATATTTTGAAAACTGACTGATTCATTTGGCACTGATCCATTACATGGTCTTTGTTGTAGCGGCATACAAAATAATAACATATTTAATAAATTAATTTTTTTACAAAACAACATTAAAATGAGTCAAATTCCAGCTAAATCACTGTTAGTTTTATTGGTGGTATCTGATGTAAATAAATATGCTTAAATGTTGTTTTATTCTGTCACCCTAATTGGGAATCCTCACGGTATTCTAAACGGTTGCCTGGCTGTAATTTAGCTACTTAAAAACGATAATTGGTTTGTCAAGCTACACTTTTAAAGTAGCTTTCCCAGATAGATTGCAATTTCTTTTTATCGACTTAAGAGAGATATAATGTTATTCTCAGACAGTAATATATGCAGTTTGTTGCCGGCTTCTAGATTGTGCCCAAAAGATACGCATTAATTAATTCGGTGACAAGACATTAAACCACACCTCCCTCAGCCAGCTGATGTGACATCTATCAGAACACGCTGAGCTGGAACAGAGTAAAATACATCATACAGCCGGGGGTAATTACTGCAAAAATCTCTGTGTCACTCCCAGGCCTTTGATGAGATGAGGCTCAGCACCGCCTCCTTGATTTCCCTCATAATTAAAGTTCATTCTCAGACGCTGCCTATAGGAACAAAAGCGATATTACAGTGTGGCTTGTTTAGGTGGGTGCAGAGAGAGATGAGCGTGATGGGTCAGAGCTTGGGTTGATAGTTAAGAATAAATGGGGGAAGGAAATATCCATTGAAATTCAGAAGCATGCTGTGCCTTGCGTTAAGAAGGCGAGAGAATGCCAACTGAAGCAGTTTCACACCATTACCCTGATTAAAGGCTGAATGGATGGAGCAAGCATTCAAGATGATCTGATGTCTGGACAAGCTATATCACAGTTCATGTTCAACACAAGAATGGAATGGACCAAACTGAATGTATTAGCGGCATCCAATCGCCACATAGAGGCTAGGTAGTAGGCTTGTGACTCGTTCGCACTTGGTCATTATCTCATCAAAGGAAGACTGACGATCTTAACTTGCTTTTGAGTTTTATTAAAGCACATGAAACATTAGACCAATGCAATACGGTCAACAGAAAGGTGGCTCCCGCTCCTCGCCCCTTCCAACCTAACAAACAATCCGACAAAGGAAATAATAAAGAAAACGGAAGTGATCACCTGTGCCCACGTGACCATGAATAACCAATAAGAAATTACAGACAATAAATGCTCTTACAGAATGTTTCAAATAAATTTTTTAGTGCTCGTTCAGTTCATGTGTTTTGAACAGAATTGGAAAAAGTTCAGAATTTGCGAACTGTCTTCCTTGCAATTAATGAGTGTTCATTTGAATTGGAATTGAATTGAATATTTGAACTGGAATGACAGAAAAAGGAATTTACGCTAGTAAAATATGTACATTGTGCAGGGGCGGAGCAAGGGTTGGTGACTCCACTTACAACTGCTGCTTTTGCCTCTTTATTCTTGACGAGAATTGCGTTTATTTAGATGCAGAACGTCTTTATGAGCACATCAAATGGGAGACTGTTCAGACGCGCGCTCCATTCTGCCTCAGCGCCAGGAGCGAGTCAAATGAGCGTGGAAACGGTACAGGTGACGAGCAGCTTCAGTAGAACTACAGTGAACTGCGGTCGTCAGATGAGATGTTGTCAGGCAATATGTCAGTAAAAACAAGTTTTCCTGTTCTGTGAGCCGTTATAATGTGCTCATAGCGCATGCTCTTCAATTGCACACACAAATACAGTGGTGTAGCTACGCGCTGTAGCCTGTATCATTTCATATTAAAGTGCGAATGAAACTATACGAGCATGCGTGTCAGATCCATGTCACATTCAGCAGCGGCAGCTCTTAAAGTAATAGCAGCCAAATAACGCAATAACCCAGCTGCTGTGATGTGTGTTAATCAAAGAAGAAAAGAAAAAAAGAGGAAATCAATAACTTTTGTAAGCTTTATGGATTTTTCTATATTTAATTTAGAGTTTAGTGTTTGATAACTTTATTCAATTTCAGTATATTTCGTACTTGCTGAAGGGCACTGAAGGGTTTATGTGAAGATTGTTTTTGCTCAGTCTTCAGTGTCACATGATTCTTAAGAAATCATTCTAATATGCTGATTTGCTGCTCAAGAACTATTTCTCATTATTATCAAAGTTGAAATTTTTTAAAAATTCTAAAACGCTTCAGGAATTAAATTGGAATTGAAGTTCTGAATGGCAAACACCCCTGATCGTGAATCACAAAATCTTGCGATCGAACAGCTCTGCATTGGTTTTGCTCTCCGTTCACACTGCAATCTCAAGTCACCACATGTTGCCATTAGTTAAGATTGATGATCTGTGATGGCAGCAGACCAATACGAGACACATCAAGCCTGCCAGTGATCAATCATATCAGAGATCTGTGTGAAGAAAACGCTAGCGAGGTGGTTTGTAACACATTTGCTGTGGTTCACAAAATCTGCTTGATCCAGCATGTGGGCGTATTTTGCCAGAGCAATGATTTAGAGACAAAGTCGATAGAACATGCCTTGTTTTCAACCTTAATATCTGTTATGCAACAGGGTGCTAACACCGACGCACAAGCATGAGAACTGTCTCTCTTTGCTATATTAATATAATGTAGGATTTGAAGCTTAACCTGCTGAAAACACCAGCGTTGGTGATTGCATAGCCTGATATAAATCAATAATGTCTTATGGTAAAAATAGCTTTTGTTGTGTTACTATATTGCAGCCATGGGTGTGCTGATGTCCAAGAAGCAGCAGGTGGAGAAGGTGCAGAAGTGCAGCGTGGTGGTGTCAGCGTTTAAAGACGGTCTGAAGGACCGGGCGGCCCCAGCGGCTGGGGCCCTGACTGAAGAGGTCATAGCTGAGAACGGGGATGGATCTGCTGATGGATCCCACCAGGCGAACAAGCAGCATACTGAACTGAAAGACAAGGACAGCAAACCAGGGTCATTACCAAATCAGCAGGCCTCAGCTCCGCCCAGAGAGTACAGGGGTCTTTTTGTCAGAAGAGAAATCTGAGAGGTAGGACGGTAACACTTTAAATGGTGGACATTGTTACACTGAAATAAGTGAAATGAACTTAAATTTTTTTTTAAATGCTTTTTGTAAATGCATCATAATATATATTAAGGTTTTTCGAAGAGAATATCCCTTTTTGTTATACACACACACATAGAAACAGGCCGAACAGGATGAAGGTGCTGAAGTGTGTACAATAATAAAATATTAGGATGGCTTTGTCAAGTCAAAATAATAAGGTAGTCCATATAATGAATATATGCCCATAAAATGTCAAAGTGCTATTTTTATCATCCACAGACAGTAGAGGTCCACTACCATTCCAGCAGTTAAATACCAATGGGTTGTACTGATTCAGATTTAGAGGCTCAGTGGCAAGGTGACATCCTTCGGCTCTTCTGATCGTCCCGCTTCTAAATACAGCACCTCTCTCAATCAGTATGACCCATTGGTATTTAACTGCTGGAATGGTAGTGGACCTCTACTGTCTGTGGATGATAAAAATAGCACTTTGGCATTTTATGGGCATATATTCATTATATGGACTGCCTTATTATTTTGGCTTGACAAAGCCATTCTAATATTTTATATATGTAACTGGCCGTGAGTCATCACAGCTCTCAAATCATCCCAACTCCTGTGGAGACGCTTGGGTCTGCACCAAAAGTCCTCGAAAATGATCTAAACTTTGAACTACAGTTTTGTCTCTGCACGTTTCCAAGGTTTTAAAATGTCTGACCCTGAGTTGCATTAATGTGACAGGTTGTCAATAGTTATGTCTGTCTCTATCGGGCGACGCTGCAGAGAGGAAGAACAGCATGAAATGAGACGAGTTCGTTCGACAGTAGACTCCATCAGGGATTGACCACATTTGTTAAACACTCATTACCTGTTGAAAGGTTATTGAGTAAAAAGTAGCAATGCTAGTAACTTAAGAACATTTTAGTAGTGTTTTGCAAATAGTGTAAACAAACTACTGTATGTTATCCTAGCTAAACTAACTTCCTAACTTCTCTCATTTGTAGCATTAAAACTAGCTACAAATTACTTTAGTATTATTTATATACTATTATAGTATTCATTAATGTTTTGAGTTAGCTTTTATTTTTATATTTTCAGTTTTCATTTTATATTTAGTTTAGTCATTTTGTTATGTGATATTCTCATTTAGTTTTTAAAAAATATTTCTATTTAATTTTTATTAATGTGTATATCAGTTTTTGGTTTAAGCGATTTTAGTTCTTCAACTTAAATTTGTTTTATTTCAGTTAGTTGCCAAGGCAACATTTTAAATTAAATTAAATTAAATTAAATTAAATTAAATTAAATGAACTTTACTTTAATTTCTGTTTTTAATTTCTGTTAAAACATTTTGATTTTTTCCAATTTATTTTTTGTATTTATTTTATTTTAGTCATCAATTTGACTTCCCTTTAAAAAATTTTTTTCCATCTAATTATTTTATTTTATTTTTTGTATTTATTTTATTTTAGCCATCAATTTGTTTTCCCCCTACCCAAACTTCTTTTATCCATTTTCTTTTTTATTTTATTTAAATAAATTTCAGCAACAACAACAACAACAAACAAGTCATCAATTTTTCTTCCCCTTAAAACTTTTATTTTATTTTACTTTATTTTATTTTAACAACAAAACAAGTCATCAATTTGACTTGTCCTGTGGCATCATCTTTGTAGGACTGAGATATTTGATCAAATTATTGCTGTACATTAATGTTTATAAATCATGGTGTATTTTCTTTTTTATTTGCTGTAAATTCATTGTAGTTAAAATGTAGTGCTGCTGCCACTCTAAATTAAATTGTTAATTCATTCACGAACCCTAGTGTTTTTGTACTGTAAAATAGACCTTTGTTAGAATTATATAGTCATGTATTTCAAAATATATTTCTAAGTATCTTCAATGTAGTCTACCTTTTGTTATTAGATTGTGTCTAACGGTTCAAAAAAAGGAAGTGAATAAATGAATGAATGAATACATACATTACATAGGCCTACATGCAAACAGGTAGATGTCTATACCGTCTATACAGTTGGATTCTATCACAGTTTAGTATTCATAAAACTGTAAATAAATTTCCCTTGTGCGATCAGTAAAACCTTTTCTTGAGCTGCATTCATCAAAGCAGCATGACATCCACATATCATGACATGAAAGTAAACCACATGCAGATTCAGCTGCACCATAGGAGACTTTAAATGAGCAGGGAATGTCAAGTGAGATTATTTCTATATTTGGTGACCTTTAATGGAAAGCAGCTAATGGAGGGAGGTATAGAAGTTTGATTGTAGAGGTGCTGAGTCACCACACTTCCTGTCACGTGTAATCATGCATTTTCAGTGCGCTGTATGGCCTTTTTTCAGTGAATCAATAAGAGTCTTGTTGATGATTTATCTGTGTTGTCTCCCACTGTTCTGCGATCAGCCCGTCAACGATGAGATGTGCGAGGTGTGTGAGGTTTGGACGGCAGACGATCTGTTCCCCTGCCGGACGTGCACACGGGTCTTCCACGACGGCTGTCTGCAGGAGATGGGTTACCTGAGCACTGAAGCTCTGCAGGAAATGAGAGAGACGGCCCACACCACCACCGGCTGGAGCTGCTATTACTGCGTGAGTTCCCTCTTTGATGAATACATACACACACTATCACATACAGACATATTTACAAGCACATTTCCAGTCCCTGGCTGTGTGGAGTTGTTTCCTAGTTATTACAGTAAATGTCTTTCAGTCTGTAGCAAGGATCCGTTCTGCAGGAATGAGCGGCTTATTTATATGCAGTATGAAATATACACAAAGCAGCATATAAAATAACCCCGTAGCAAATCTATACAGGTGGAGCTGGGGAAGGTGGAGGGTTTCAGAGAACTATGCCAGATCCGGTCAGAAAATATTAATTTTGACTGGTAAACAGAACAACTAGTCAGCAAAATTGTCTAATACCCAAAAAGTCTTGTCTGGTACCCAATACTCTATTAACAGTCTTCTATCAGCCAAGAAGTTGACTAGAGAAGAGCAGAAGCAAACGAAAAAATGGTGATGATAAAAATGGAGCAGAGTTTATTGAATAGTCTTAGTTGCGTATGTTTCAATGCTTCATTAGCTGTTTTTCATTCCTGCTGTGTGTTTCTTCAAAGGCAGTGTGAAACAATGCATGCTATTTCTGTAATATTACATATTTCCGCGTGAAATATTCAAAGGGAGGTCATGTAGGGGGATCTGTTAGATCATGGCTCCACGCCAGAAATATCAAATCCTGTCCCGGATGCCAGATCCGGTCAGAAAATATTAATTTTGACTGGTAAACAGAACAACTAGTCAGCAAAATTGTCTAATACCCAAAAAGTCTTGTCTGGTACCCAATACTCTATTAACAGTCTTCTATCAGCCAAGAAGTTGACTAGAGAAGAGCAGAAGCAAACGACAAAATGGTGATGATAAAAAAGGAGCAGAGTTTATTGAATAGTCTTAGTTGCGTATGTTTCAATGCTTAGACTTTGTCTGACGAACACAAATCCAACAAGTGTTATTATACCACAAGCAATAGCAATGTAAAATTACTGCTTCACAATGTGACATTAAAAACCTTGAAATGGAGACATTCTCTTGTCTCTTACTAATGAACACAAAAATCCCGTGAAACCACACAATCACTAAAGACTATAAACAACAAATTTCTATTTATGTTTTTTTCTTGCAATTTTATCTTTTTATGTACTTTCTACAATAATTATAATAATAATAATAATAATAATTATTATTATTATATAATAAAAACAAGGATTGAATTTGGAAAAAGTTGAATAAACGACAATTTTAATTTTTGGGTGAACTATCCCTTTAACAGTAGTGAAAAGGGAGCAACTTATAAAAATTATAGTTGTTCATATTGTCACGGTCAAGGTGTGTGGAGGCAGGCAGGATGATGAGGACGACAAGGATTAAAATAAGGATGTTTAATGTAGAGACAACAAGGCAGATACGGGTAGATGAGACACA